CTGTACTGACACTAATTATTCGCATTTTTCTTAAATCCTTCTTTGTCACCTTGTCCACTTCAACTGCCCGTAATTTTTCGCATAAATTGAATTGACACGTAAATTTGTAATCAGATTGTTCGAAATGTATTGCAGGGATACATCACATTTTTCGCATAATTTCCGTGCTCTAATTATTATTATTATTATTATTGTTCCCTTGAATTCCTAGTGGAACATAGGGCTTCAACTGCACGTCTTCTGCTGTACTCTTCACTTGCATCCATGTTAGTCCATACTCTTCCAAATCCTCTTCACACGACCTCCTCCAGGTCACCCTTGCACTGACGTCCCACTCGCCGCCTCCCTTTCGGTCTGGTTCCACTCGAGCAATGACCTGACGCGCGCACGATGTCACCGACCGGCCTCCTCAGCGAGTGTCCAATCCATCTCCACTTTCTCCTGCATATTTGTTGGTTGGCGACTGGTTCTTGCTTTGTTTCTTCCAGTAGTTTCTTGTTGGTGAGTGCTCTGATTACACTATCTGAAATGGTTGTATTCTTATCTTTCTGATAGGAAGCGGTATACTATATATATATATATGTTTTCGTATCTGTTACTTTACTATCAGACCGTTCCAACATGAATAGCTTTTTATTTGGAATTAATCAGTGCTCCTAGTTGAATGGTTTTAAGGTAAATTCCTCCAGTTATCATATTGTTAATTTCACTTTCTGACACAAAACGAGATTTACATGAACTGGTTTGTCATCAGGATTTTTGTATAATGGGGAGTCCGAAAATTTGAAACTAGATTGAATGTTAAATACTTCGGATTATTCCTTTCCCCTGATCTTCTTACATCATAATAATTTATATAAAAAAAGTATTTCATTTAACCTTCTGAGCAAGTAAGCAAGGAAAATATGGTATCACTCGGTCTCTACTTTTACAGTTTGCTAATTCTTGTATTCTGTGTATTTTTCCTTATTACTCCCCCTTAGTCATTCCTGATCTACTTAAAAAAAAATACTTCATTACTAAACTAAGGGCTAGTCGACAGGGAGCGCAGAGTGACTTTCAACCAACTCGTTAAAACTGTGATGGACACAAACATGCACTCTTGCAAGAAATCGGAGAATATCATATTGTCGGACTCTGAGCATCTGCTTTATACATAACTCCCCTGTTGCAGGTAGGATGAGAAGCAATTATAAGAGACTTTATGCTCGGATGACTGAGTATAAACATTCTACGATATTTTATTTGGCACACATTTATATGTGATGCGACAGTAGGTAAACGGCCCCGTTTTACTAAGTTACGGATAAAATTTTATTCAGAAAAAAAGCTCAGCAATCGCACTTTAAGCATAAACATACAACCGCACAATACAGTAGGACAGAGTTAGAGCTCTAAAAAGTAATAAAGGTAGATGGAGAGATATTGATTACAGAATCCTATTTCATCAAGACTACGCCCAACACATACAACTGAAGTGACTCAACACAAATACCAGAGATATAGAAGATATTACTATCAGTCAAATCAGAGGAGGATAATAAATAATGTTAAAATGTATTCAATTCACATTATAACATTCTAACGCGTTACTTATTTTACTATAAAAACATTTAATTGTATTTTATTGATGCACTTTATCTTATATTGATTTTATTCACATATCTGATCAATTTTTACTCATGTATATAAATGAAGCAAGAAAGTTGTGTGTGAGTACCTTGATATGATTATGAGTGGCAATAAATTGTGCTCGAAACGTCATCAGTAAATATTACTGTATAAGGCTGTATGATTTTATCAAAATAAAATTTTATCCATAATGGAGTTGTACTCTACCACAGTGCCGAAGTTTTATACTTATATCGATGATACATATGGCCCTTTTCATGCTTCCCATCATTATATATATTGTTTTACTGTTTCTGTTAGCTTCAAATTTTTTTTATATTTACATGTGGCGACTTGAACTTCCGCACATTTGTGCAAAGTTCTATGTCAAAAACAGACAGACAGACATTCTTTATTGACAACGCGTCAGTGTGTCGGTGGCATAGCGGTTAGGACGCTCGCCGATCATGCACATGGTCCGGGGTTCGATCCCCGGCCACAGACGCACTCCTTCACCTCGCTAAGCCAAAAACATTACTGGTGAAGAGGAAAAATTGGGCATGAGGCTAGCAAACCCATCTTGTAAAATTAACACTGCTACAGAAACTTCAAGTCACTAGCTTGAAGCCCAATGTTCCAATGGGGAACGTGAAGGGAAAAAAAATTGACAATGCAAATGCCCTGTTAATTATTTTACCATGTACTATGTAAATGAAAATAGAAAATTAGATGCAATATTGTACTGTACGCTGGAAATTCCCTGTTATACCAAACGTAGAGTTTGTAATCGAGTCAATACCATTATCATTCAGGTTAAGCATTCCATGTTCTTTCAGTAAGAGATAGGGACTGAGTTGCATGAAAATTTCAAAACTTAGGTAATACACTATCGCTAACTCCCACGAGGAGACAGTCATTTTTCTACCACAAGAAGTTTACAACATAAATTATCAACCAAGTTAGGTGTAAGAGGGTAATGTTTTTTCTAAGGGAAACGTCAGCAAGTGAACTATTGTTTGCGAATGGGCCGGTAAAAAATCGCAGGGAGACGTTAAGCGATTAAAAGCATTCAACAGAAAGCCCTGGGCCTAGCTAGGTTTGGTGAATGTTGTTACTTGTCAGCGAGAGACCGACTTGCAATTAATAGTGTTCTCTGAGCCAGTTGGTTTAGTTGCGGAGATTTCGTCGTCCTTCTAGGCAACATCTTCAGCACAATATTTAGCATAAAGTGAAATGATTTAAATTTTCTTGCTGAGTAATATAGTTGTGTCTCCCGGTAACCATCTTTACATATGTATTGACCACTTTCTATTGACTTGGATTTTAAACTTTCTGGTCACCTGATTTACTTTTTATTAGTCGGTATATTTCGTCTATATTAACGTGTTTGTTAATTGCATACTCGTTTGAGTACCGGGCTTCTAGGAATTCTCCGGCACTTTTGGTGTTTCCTCTATCTAAGATTTCGACACTTTCCCCATCAAATTGATATCCATAATTGTCTACATGCATTGATATTAAAGGACATATATCGTGTCTTTTCACGGCTGATTTGTGTTTTTGGATTCTAATTCGAAGGCGACGACCACTTTGGCCAATGTAATGCCTGTTACAGTTCATACAATTTATTTTGTAAATGTAAAAGAGACCGACTTCTCTTATAAGATTCGAAAGCACCCAACTCAGTGCTACGATCAAATAGGTTACGAGTAAATTATTCCGGCTCACCATTAACTTTATGTAGGAGTGTTATTAATAAATCAATTGGTCACTAGGATGTAGTCACTGTTATCCGGCCTGGTGACCATATTAAAAGCCTGAGTGACGAAGAACTAGAAACATGACGAGACATTCAATACTCTCCAGTGACTTACTAATATAAACATTCACATCAAATTATCCCACATTTCACATGTATTGTGAACATGAGGACTCACCAGGGGTATACAAAAACAGGCAATCACGAAGCTGTTAAAAACCCTACTTGAGAAGGAATAACTAACCGCCTATCTGAAATTGACAGTAATACCTATCCTGAGCAGATCGTATAGCTGTAAAAATATCTATTTTGGGTTCGGGCGTGTAGTGCCCAAATCTTTATCAACCTCATTCAACTCCGGGCCGTATAACAGTGCCACGTGTCATATGGTCCATAACGGAAAACCCAGTGAGGCATTTGAAGTATATGGAGGAGTAAGACAAAGCTGGCTGCCTATTATCGCCCATGATATTCCTAATTGTGGTGGACTGGATTATGCGTCAGGCTGTGAGTCGGGAGTGAAAAGACAAGAACACGCTGTACCACCGATAAGAAGACTCTAGAGGATCTGGATTTTTCTGACGATTTCAGTTTAATGTCACACAGACTCGAAGGCGAAAACCAACAAACTGGTAGAAGAAGTAGACAGTGAAGACAGCAGTCCGGGTGAACAAACAGAAAACCGAGGTGATGAAGATAACCAACCAACAGCGACAACCAGCACCAATCACCATCGACGGAAGAGATTTGACTGAGGATACTTCCTTCACTCATCCGACTACGAAGCATAGTTCCAACCACAGCCGGGACGGATAGGAGTGTCAAAGCCAGACAGCCAGTCAGAATCGTAAAGGCAGGATACACCTTCGTCAACCTGAAGTCAGTTTGGAAGTCTTCCGAACTGCACTCCGCCTCAGAACAAACAATAACATTCGGATTTTCAACACAAATGTCGAGCCAGTCAGTCAGTTCTTCTGTATGGGTCCGAAACTTGCACTTCGAGTCATGAAGAGGATTTCGAACAGGCCACTGCAGACTTTTATGAACAGCTACCTCTGATGGCTGGTTCCATACTGAGGATCAAATGGCCAACCGACCAGAGAGAATTAGCAACAAGAAACTCTGACCGGGAACAAACCAACGAAAAGCTGACTGCTGAACAAATATGTGGGAGAAAATGGAGATGGATCGGGCATATGTTTAAGAGGCCGTCGAATGATATCGCGCGCGATGCAGGCCACTGCTCGAGTGGGTCATCGATGTAAGCGCGACATAGAGGAGATCGTGCGAGGAGTAGACGAGAGATGATGAGCAATCATGGGGCCAGTTGAAGAGGACATCAGCCTATGTTCCACTCGGCACCCAGTGAAACAATAATAATAATAATAAATGTACAGTTTATGATAGATTAAACCAAAATTACATATTCGTGCTGAAGGTAAAGACAGGTTGTTGAGTGGAATTATTGACTCAATTATTATCTCGGTTCTAAGCCACATGGTGTTCAAATCATGAAGTCGATTTTTTCATCCAACTATTGCTTAATTAAACAGAAACTGAACGACTTAAATTAATGATGAATTGCACCTGATATACATTATTATTATAATGAAAAAAAAACTGTTTCTTTCTGGAACCATTAGGTTTATTTAATTATACATTTAACTAATTCAACTGAGAAACAATGTAAGACATGATCAAATTAATTCAAATCAATAGTCAAATTGAAGTTGAAATAAAAGCATCACCCCAAGCATAAAACCAAAGGGCTCGTCACAAAAAATATATAAGTCAAGATAAAAGATAGACAAGTCACTGTAGTTACAATTTCATTAATTCAATGAATATTACTGAAAGAAAAGAAAAGAAATAATAAGTCATCAAATGCTAGAACTAAACTAATTCAGTTCAGAGATGTAGGTACAATTATCTGATATGTGAATTTTTTGTTTGTTTTGGTTCTCCTCTTCAAAATTGTCATTGTTTTTATAACGAAATTATAGTCACAAACAAAGAGAAACGTGAAGAGAAACTATTTCATTTCCTTTTAAAATTACATTAATTGCAACAAAGAAAAAGCATGCAAATATTGATTGTGTACAAATGATAAAAAGGGTATACTAGGAAAAAGTCCACTTTCCACGACGTAGATCTTCTTTCACTTTGTAATGCACAAGTTTCATACACGCAACAGCATCCTCCATACTATTGTGTCCACTCTCTATATCAGAAAAAAACAACAACAATAATAAATAGTCACATAAAAATAGCTCATTAAGAAACCAATTCTCAAGTGAAAATTGATGAGAATAAAGTAAAAAATTAGAAAACTTACCAGCAAATTGAACTTCTCTTCAAAATTAATCAAAAAGTCTACTCTTAGTTGTTGGGCCTGCAGGAAATTCATTGCTTTTTAAGATAAAGTTTGTCACCAGGTGATGTCGACTCTCACTGGAATCTTGCAGTTTCAGACTTACACAATGACTGGAAGTGGAATAATATTCGGTTGTTAGATTCCAAAAATTACTACACTTTCAACAGCTCCATAATGTGAATCTGTTTGTAACGATATTCACCCAGAAAAAGTTTCTTTACCACGTCTTCTTGTAATGGAAAATTAGTGCACTATTGCTACTTCTCATAGACGATCTAGAATGTCAAAAATTGCTCTCATGTCTGTCTATACGTTCAAAGTCTATATCACGTAGGTGGAAACTACTGATGGGCGGGACTCGCCCACGAAAATGAGGCATTCATGATCTGAGAAGTGTATATTGTATAAAAACTATATATGGTCACTGTGACTCGACAGTGCACCTCCGTAAGTTGCCCTGCCACATGATGACACAAATTTCAAGCTCAATACTTGGAGAATGGGGTATTAAGGCAAACATCTCCTTCCACTTGGTAGTCAGTGCGAAATATATACCATCATATAAAATGCAAAACAGTATATCAATGGAGACTTCGATTCACTTACCTTCTTTCAGAATCAACCGTATTTACAAATGAGCAATATATGCAAACACTCATGTGGTGAGAGCTGTCTGCAAGCCAACATTGTAAACAACAATTTACGCCACTGCCTATGTCCCTAATGGGTGCCATGAGAAAAAACAAGAACAAAGCCTAACCTTGAGGGACTCAACAACCAATCACAGCACAATTAGTGTGTGCAAATACGATTCGCAGATATATAGATGACTTTGTAGGCAACGGTCACAAGCAGTACAGAATAAACTTGCGTCCAAGTTGCTGACTTTTTCCAAGCTATACAGACTTCGTAAAACTCGCGAAAATTGATATACAGGAAAGGGTTAATTCAGTTCCAGGAAAATTTTCATTGAATACATTACATAGTTGAACACTATTCGTTACTGGATGACGTTTCAAATAAAACTTAATGTTTATAATCATATCATATCAATTATAATTACAAGGTTTACTCAGATAGTGGATGTATCGATAAAATATTTGTCTATCACCTCGTGACAAATATGACCAAAAATGACACTGTGCGAACTAGTCGAAACAGTGAAGTATCTCACGTTCATTAAGAGTGAACCCATTTGCGTCATTTAGAACGATTTTCAGCAGTATCGCCAACAGTTTCAAGCAAGTGGTTTCTAGCATCTCGTGTAACTCGACTAGGTAGTCTATATCTCCATATATTCCATGTGGCTGACTCACACCAACAGACAAAAACTTCATGAATTGATGCTATGCTGGTCAATTCACTTATTTAGGAAATTGCATAGCCCTAATCGACTCATTTCTTTCAAAATCTCAATAAGGATACAAAAGGCTCGTAGGACATTTCCTAATTTACGTTATCTCTGGAGTAGGTATGATATCCGGCTATCGATTAAATAATGTGCACTGAGCATCAGTTCGCTGTATCCTCCTTTATAGATGTGAGACATGGGCATCGAAAGTGGGAGATACGAAAAGGCTAGTTGTCTTTGACCACCGATTTCAGAGTTATATCTCCCATGCTAACTAGTATAAAAGGGTGAGTAATATTGTGATTAGACATAGCGCTAAGTTAGTAAAGGAAGTCAATAGACGAAGGTATAAGGCTATATCGCCTGAGATCGTTAAGACAAGTACTGGGCATACCGAGCCACCACCTCCCTCGACAGTCAATGTTACCTGACATACGTTTGAGATGGAAAAGAGTTAGGTTTTGTTAAGCCAAAACCTGGAATCAGTCCATGAGGTCTTTGACAGTTCACTTGAGCCAGCGACATAGTGAGCTGTAGACTACCTGAATGAGGTCTTCGGGATGCTAAACATCAATGACTGGAAACTGTTGGTGATAAGACGCAGGGGCATTCACGCTTTATAATTTCACAGATCAATTAAGTCTCCATGTTTCTACCATGTTAATATTCTTTCTCCCACACATTTCTGCTTATTACAGTTCCTTCGAATTTCGGCTTTTCTCTTTTAGCTACATTTATGTACTATAGTGAGTGTGGCAACTTGAACTGCTGAATTTCTGTGTGCAAAGTTCTAAGTTGAAACTTAGTCAGTCAGTTGTGTTATTACTGCTAACTGGCTATATAAATATACGGCGTAGCGATTTGAACCATGAAAAAGTAACTCGGTGCTTGTCTGTCTATTAACGCAAAACTGCCAATAGATAACCATCTTCAATCTAATAATCAGGCTGAACATTAATGGGAATGTTCGAAACAACTTCGTTAGAAATCGGAAAAAAAAGAGTTACCCGCCAACCACCCACTTAATCAATCATTTCAGGCACACAGATTTAGATAGAATCTGTAATCACAAAACAGAATATCACTAGTATAAGCATTCTACGAGGACCAGGAATTCTAAATCACTAGATTTTTTATGCATAAAAATATATTAAGGTGTGTGGAACAATAAAAAAGGGTTAGATAAATAACGTACCATCTTGTTGTATAATTTGTTGTAAAATTTCGCTAACTAAATTACGTAAAGCTCGTTTATTTGGCAATCCCAAACGATGTGGAAACATAATAGAAGTATCCACAATTTTGTTATGTATCAATTTAAGGGCAGTCAAATCACTTTCTAAACTATGACCGATTAAAATTGTATCCGAATCGAATAAATGTAATAGTTTTGCTTGAATATCAGTTATGTGATACTTGGCCTTTTCAATATCTTCTTCTCTTAATCCGGAAAATCGTGAATTACAATCAATTACAGGATTATCAGGACATACAACTTCATCTAGTACAGTTTGAAGTTTTGAATTGACAATAGTAATTCTTGCTAATTCACAGCCGCCAGTTGTATAAACCATCTCACAGTCTAAAGCATATACATTATTACAGGCATCTTCATCATCTTCACATATAGGTGACTTGGGAAGAGGTGGTAATGTAACAACAAAGCCTTCATTATCCAACCATTTATTAGCATCATGTACATGACCTTTTGGACAGATCTGACAACCTGGTTGACCTATATCACCATTACAGCATAAATAACGAAGATCTATTCCTCGTCCAAAACCTGTTAAAGCGATTGAGAAAACGCAAATGAGGCAAAAATACAATGCACAAAATAGGTAACCCTAATGTGGCGAAAGTAGTTAAAACAAAGTATTTTAAATCGTCGATATTGAATTGAATTTATTAAGCTATATGAAAACACTATACGGCCATTATTATCACAGTACCTGCTTCAAATGTAATCAGTCACTGAATACTAAGTGTGAAGAATGACTAACCACACTTATTACGCAATACCAGCAACAGCATTTAACCCCCGTTTTTTAAATCTCCACACTTAGTTATCCCCTTCTAGATTATAACCAACATAATGAAATAAATTTCCTGGAATGAACTTATCAATATCTGATTGGTTTTATGAAATCTTTGTTAAATATAAATACGACTGTACAGATCTTGAAAACGATTCGTCGAAAAGAAACTTCTCTTTGCTGTCTACCTACCTCTTCTTTTTCTTATAACTTATTACACAAATTTTCTGTTCAACCACTACTGAATACAATTGAAATTTAGTTTTAAAGAGATAATAAGAAAATGAGAGTTGGAGATTGTAAGTGATGCTCAACTTACCTTTACCTTCTTTGAGATATCACACCCATTTATTGATTTTAAATCTGCTATTCTATGTTACAATGGTGGGATAACAGCAGTTTTACTTACATTATTTTCACACTCGTATTACTATTTTATTACCTGCTACATTTTATGCTAAGATGTTTCACGATAATGCTTTGGACCATAGTAGGATGCATATCGATGGATGAATCGATATTTAGCCGAAAGTCATACGAGCCTTCTATCTAATAACCATGTATCAGAAAACTTGGAAATGGATAAGAAAATAAACACAACATGCATTATCCTTTAACATTTGGATCAATCAAGATATAACGAAAGGTGAATAAAGTGTTATAGGTCAAGTGGATATAGACGGAGACTGACAGAGGGATGAGATATTAATAACTAAGACTATGTTCGACTACACTTCAGTTGTATCACTATAATAATCTAGTTATTAGTTATCAGAGCGAGCATTGCGAAAATCAATAATAATGATAACAATAATAACCAAGTTAGAATAATGATATTGACAAAAGATAGCTTTAAATAAGACAACAATAATAATAGATGGAATAAAACAATAAAATATTATTATGATAGAATCAAAGTGTACACCATTTACTTTTGAACACAGGCAACTGGATATTATACAACCTAGTTAGAAGGGACTCTACAAATGCAAGTATCTGTCTGTTTATTTGTCTGATGATAACAGTGAACGACACTTGATAGCGTGAACATCATGTACGCAATTCCATATCGGTTCGTTTATTAGATGTATCACACAGTGAAACAGTATTATTTACTGGATGACAAGGTTTCGAACACAATTTATTGTACATAATCATATCAATTGTAATCACATGACTGAAACCTGAGTTTTATAGTTTTCTTTCTTCTCTCCTATTTGTCCCTAGGGGTAGTAGAATTTCCCAAATATCAGGGACAGGTGTTGAATCATTTCTATTACATTTATTCGCAGTTGATTCGATAAACAAAGCTTCTGTTATCAATCTCTCCCTCACTCCACCCTGTGACATTAGATTATGAAACTGTCATCCTATCCCATCCATCCTATTGTATGGTTGTGTAATTGCATGCAGTGAGTGCTATAGCTGAACTATTCTCTAGATTTCTTATCTTATTTGGGTCAACCAATCTAGATTTCGCTTGGTTTTTATGTTCAGCTAATCTGATTGCCCCTGTTCTACTAGTTTGACCTATGTATTTGACGTGACAATCCTTGCAGGCGGGGCATTAGATAAACTAAATTGTTTTGTTTTATAATATGCTTCAATAATTGTCAGGTCAAATACGTAGGTTAAACTAGTAGAAAAGGGGCAATCAGATTAGCTGAGCATAAAAACTTAGCAAAATCTAGATTAAGAACACAATTTTCAGCGAAGAGACTCTTTTCAACGAATTTATTATCAAGCTGTACAATCGTATATATATGGTTTTATAAAGAAATTATATCCGGTGAGGGAATTAGGTCAAAGGTGTAAATACATGAAATAATAATAGTATGAAATAAATTTTAAATATTTGTGATTAGGTTCATAGTTTAAGTCAAGTGGAACAGTAATTGTGTTCTTAATGCTACAATGGGAATTATTAAATTATTGAAAAAATCTAGATTAGTTGACCCGAATAAGATAGGAAATCTGGAGAACAGTTCAGCTTTAATACTCACTACATGCAATTACGCACAATCGTACAATAGGGTGGATGGGATAAGATAACCGTTTTAAAATCTAATGTCACAGGCTGGAGGCCGGGGGAGACTGATAACAGAAGCTTTGTTTATCGGATCAACCGCAAAGACGTGTAATAGGAATGATTCAACACCTGTCTCAGATATCTGGAAAATTCCACTACCCCTAGGACAAATAGGAGAGAAGAAAGAAAACTATAAAACTCAAGTTTCAGTCATGTGATTACAATTGATATGATTATGTACAATAAATTGTGTTCGAAACCTTGTCATCCAGTAAATAATACTGTTTCACTGTGTGATACATCTAATAAACGAACCAATATGGAATTATTTACTACCACAGTGCCCGTTTTACACATATATTGCCATGTACGTAGTTTCTACGATAACCTTTATAGTATTTTGTCCCCAGCTTTTTTCAGTCACATCATCCGAGTAGATAGCTTGTCTTTCTGTTCGACACAGTTAGGAGTTTTGAAGATTGGCGACCAGTTTTTCCTAGATTATCGAAGTACACGCCTGGTGATGAGCTTTGCAGCATAATCAATTCTGCTAATAATTTTATCAAATTTTTGTCTAACTCTTTCTTACTATTTCTTTTTGGTAACAAACAAATCTATTCAGGTTTATTGATAAGTCTTCGTATAGGAAGACCATAAGTCATATTAATATATGCGTAAAACCTGGACACTGTGGTAGTAAGTAATTCCATATTCTAATATGGAACTGTTCAGGTTGACTTGAAACGGTTTTTACAGTTTCACTGACTCACATTTCTTTAGAATATTTATATTGATAAACCTATGAGAATATTCGTTTTCAGATAAAATAGCTTTTAGTGTCATAATTTTATGTTCAGTTTGTCAGAATAGACTTTGCGTGCTCAACTGAACAATGTTCTGCATAGGCTGCTATTATTATTACCTATTTTCCGATCCCCAGTAGTTTATAGTTCTTCCACTGCCAATTGATTGTTCGCAAAGCAAAAAAGGAAAGGTTGAGCAAAGTATGCTCTTCTTTCGAAAAGTTCCTCATCTGGCCCTACAGTTATACTTAGAAATAATTATATGCTTAAAGAGTAGTTGCTATTGCCAATATTGACGTCTTTTGTACAAGTAATATGGAATTGTTTAGACCAATATAATTGAAATTCATAAGCTTGTACGAGTGATAATATGCATAAAAATGTACCACTAGATTGAGCATCAGATAAAAGTTAAGAAAGAAAAGTATGAAACAATTAAAGACAGTTAAAACAAATAATAACTTGTAAAAGGCTTAAAGAAAGTGGGAAAATGTTAGATTTATGTAATCAAGTAGTGGTGGACAAGACAGAGAAAGCATCTGAACGAACTTCTATTGAACTAATATTCATCTAAGCAAAATCTTAGAGTTATACAAACTCTGATCAAGATTCGACAGAACAGTTCTACAAACATTGGGAGTCAAGTGAATCAACTCCCCTATATTTTTGATAATATGATCGAATTTTATTAAATTGCACTAATCATCAGTATATTAAAACCTGCCAAGAAACTATAATCACTAGAATTTAAATATATAGAGAAAATAATTTTAAGATAGGAGCTTACTTTTCTGCTTAACAGCTTTACCCCAATGATAGATACATTCACCTTTAGTTAGAGAGTGTCCAAATTCATCAACTAGAAATCGAGTACCACATCGGCAACAAACTCGTTCATTAGCTATGGAATAGATGACGAAAATAGTACAGACAAAATACTTTCACATTATAGTAGATGACAGTTTATGTGGAGATTGTATACCTCGAAAAGCAATATCAACTCAAACATGTATACCTAGTCAAAGAATATATATATATATACTAATTTAAGGCTCAAATCAATTGTGCATTAAAAAATGTTAGCGAAGCAGACTATTTGTTCATTCTTAGATAATTGTAGTGTTACTCCGGCTTGCAGTTGAAAATCAAGTGTACACTTTTGAGGTTTGTAGTGGAGCATATTGTTAGCTTTTTCGATAATTACAAACTGGGCTGCATAATAGTGTGATAATAGAAGGCAAAACACGGAAGCCAAGGTATATTTTTCATTAATCAAACAGCTGTTTATATATCTACAGTTTATATTCGTTAACCAATCATCCAGCGTGTGATTTCAGTTTAAACCAAACAACATGAAATAGAATGTTCAAGTATACATAGTATTCTTTTGTTAATGCAGTATATAACCGTGGGAAATGTGTTCTGCCTAACATTAAATCGAATGTTCAAATAGATATATTGTATGCAGTATTGAACTGTGGGAGCATAATATTCCGTTGGTAGACATTGTCTGTATCACACCACCACAATAGGTCCTACGGATGACAGAATTTAACCTTCGTCTCAAAATCCTACTGTTTATTTCTCCGTTATATGGTAATTTGATGAAAACGTTTTTCTTAGGGGTGGTATAGATCGTAGATTTAAAGACTAGTTGACTTCTACGCCTGTTTAAAAATTTTAAAGGATATCCGTTTACAACAAGAGTATCCATCAGTATTTCGTTTTCTTTGTCCATACCATCACCCGTGCAAATAAGTTGAATCCCCTTCAATAAACATATTTCACCAAGCCTCTTTTTTAATGAATTGGACAGACTGTGAAAATAATAAGCCAACATGGCCTGGACAGTTTATCAGTTTCCAGAGCTTCATCCCACTTATCCAAAGGAGAAACCTGGTACGTACATTGTGTTCAAGGATTAGAAAAATCTGCTCGGAAGATATGGTAGAGAAAGAATTACATTTATTACGCGAAACCCTACTACAGAATGGGTATCCACCAAGATTTATCGACAAAAACATGAAGGAGAAGCCTCCGGTGTCAAACATCGCAACGGTTCCTAAGAAGACTCTCTTCATCAACCTAGAATTCAAAGGTGATATCGCAGCGGAAATTCTCAGGAACCGCCTTTCTTAATGTCTGAAGAAGATATTTCCAACAGCCACTCTAAGTATCACATTTTCCTGCAAACAGTTAATCCAGTTTAACGCCAGGGACAAGATGCCGCTTTGGGCCACTTCAGTGTGTATTTATCAATTTAATTGCTCGTGTGGAGCAAAGTATATCGGCTGTACGCAACGTAAAGTCCACAAACGTATTCTGGAACACTGCCCAGCTTGGTTAGCCAGAAGAGAAAAGAAGAATAGCAGCAGCTCGATCCTCAAACACTTTGTCATCTCCGGACATCGAGCACCCCCACATGAATGCTTCACAGTGTTACACAGAGTTCCTCAATATCGTTGATATTATATGATATCAATATCGTCCCTCAAGTCGATATGATTACGAGCAATAGTTAATATTACTGTGCAACACTGTGTGACTTATCAAAATAAAATCTTATCTATAATCAGTAAAATGAATTAGTCAAAATGCAGTAAATCAATTATTGTATAGCATACAGAAAATATGCGTATTGTGATATACTATAAAAAATTCGTTAAAACTATCAGTAGTACAGAGATACCAATGTAAAGTAGCACAATGAATTTCTCATGTAATACTGACTGAAACAGATAAAAGATAACGACAGTGTACAAAATTTATCACAGTAAGAAATAAGGGAATCGTTAAATATTATTAAATATATGACAACTTAATATACGGAAATTTAGAATGGACGCTTGTATCCATCGATTAAAAACAATAAAAAGTGAGGACATGTTAATTATACAACGCAAACAAAAAGCCTGCTCTGTGCACTCCAAGTCGAGCAACGAGGTAGTGTTACAAGCGGAGCTCATAATAGTCTAGTGCACAAAGAAGCCCTGCACCAGGTATCTTAGTTGCGGTACTATTATTGTTAGTATTATTATCATTACTATTTCTCAGGCCTTTGTGTCCCATTTGGAACATAGAGTCTCGAGCTTGACCCCTGAAGTTTCAGTAGCGATGTTGTTCTTCTAAGGGGTGAAGTTGCTAGCTTCACACACATTATTACTTTTACAATGATAATACTTACATTTACAAGTGCCATACAACTGCTGTTTGTTTTGTGGTATAAATAAAGCTGCCTTTCCCCGAACAACTGTATTATTTTCTGTCAATTCACGAGGATAACCATTAGTCTGTAGATCTTCTTCTGACAATAGATATGTAGTCAGCTGATTGTATAGAAGAGGACCTTTATAGAAGGTATACAAAGAATTAAAAATAAACTTATAACAAATGTAACTTTATATAAGATTAATTAATACCCACTGACATAGTATAATTAATAAAACAAAAAAAATGGTTAATCTTCAGTTCTTATCAAACTTATAATTCGTGAATGCCTTAAAATACTCTTACTTTACTGTAATAAAAGTAATGCACCATCATCAGGGGATAGATGACTTCCAGAATAACTTTAGGATGTGCGTAGTTTTACTCTTAATATATAGATAATTTGTGTATACATATGCAAAAGATAATGATCATACAGGCGCATTCTGGAAGTAAACCACATGGTGATTGCATAAGAATGCCTCGACTGAGACGGATCTAATAAAAGTGTGATTTATTTTAACCTCTTCTTTCATGATGTTAATTTAACGGTACTGAAATGATTGATCTACGTTAGCACAAGAATCGCAACACTACGAGCCTTTAATGACGCCGATGACTAATAAATAAAATGATACCATATGAACAATGTGAAGCTCAATAAAATGTTCAAAAATTGTAAGTGATAGACAGAGAACACATTATGTGAGTAACAGTGATTGTTTTTAAACCAAATTTTCAGGTGTCAAACTATCGATCCCGAGGAAACAATCAATAAGTTTACGATATCCACTCCATGAATTTTATCATGTACAGATGATGATTCAGAGATGCGTAAGATCAGAAACTTATATACCCTCTTGATCTTAACCACTTCTAAAGGTTATACTTTATATTAGCATAGTGTAAAATAATGAACTGTTTACCAGCGGTTAGGTCTGGAAGTTCAATTGTTAGACTATACAAATGGTAACTCAGGACGCATTTAGCTCCCTAGGTGACACAATACAGGTTTCGGTTGATAATTCAGTCGTAATTCCCTCCTTTAATATAGTAAAATCAATCAGCCATACTTAATCTATTTCAGATTGGATAACCAATAATCTAGACAGTAATTATCAAGTCCGGAGAAAACCATGAAGTGGTGCTATGGCTCATTGGTCTAGGCGTTCGACTTGCAGCCAGTCGATCATGGGTTCGAACCCCGACCACCCAACCGAGGTTTGAGCTACCAGATAGTGTCACTAACCATAACACAATAGATCTGGCTCAACACCGAATGAATGGAATTGCGACTGGTTTTTGAATAACACTCCATTCCATCGCATGCGGATCAACTCATAGGTTATCGGAAAAATGAGATCAGAACTAATTATATATATGTGTAAGGCTTATTTGTGTCGAAAGTAGCTGAGAAGTAATTATATATTCAAAGTACAAAAGAATAAAATAATTAACGACACATTTATTACCTCTAACCAAACGGTCAAGTTTTTCCTCAGCATCATCCTTTTTATTGTTTGAATCAGCAGATCGTGAATTCAAAGTGGAACTACTCGACGGACGTGTAGTCGTGTTCGATGACAGTTTCCGTTTTTCACCTAGTTGTACAGATGTTTTCTCTGCTTTTAAAGATTTCAATTGTTGGATTACAGCATTTAAATAGGCCATACGACTTGTTGCCTTATCATGACACGATTGTTCATCTTCGAGGGCCTAAAACAGCAACCACAATATGTCAGATATAGAAAAATGCCTCTTGAGACCATTAAAATAACAGTGAAGATGAGACGAATCTAAGTGACAGAGATTTAAAATTTTCACAGCAGTTTATCAGAACAAGATTTTAAATGTAATATAAATTTGTGTTAAAAGTTATTGATAGCCTTTTGAATCGTATGAACACACATTCACATACCCACGAATTCCGTGTTTTCCTAAGTTCCAACTTGTTTCACTATATATAGTTTTATTGTATAAATTTATCCAACTACGCTAAATCACATATCTAGTCAGGAAATTCAACAAACTAAATATAGACAGTTAAGGCATACCTTACTCTCAGTAACAAAAGAATCACTATTTTGTGTACATTTTTTTTCCTGAATAAAATCAAACTTACGCGTTTGTATGCATCACTAGGACAATCATATATGACCAAGCACTCTTCGATAAATTGATCTAAATAACGAGTTCTGATTGGCATAGGAATTTTGTCACTTTTACGAAGTGGAACACGAGGTCTGACAATATTCTCAATTTGTACACTTCCTGAAACACTGGACTAAAATGAAGAAGGAGAACATTTGACACTTATAAACTGTAGACAAACAATAAATTACAATAGTTTATGTATCCAAATACACACATTCTCAAAGTATTATTGCTTTTAATACTGTTTGTATAAAACTATGCAAATCACTTTGTTTCAAAATGACTTTCATTCAATTAATATATCCTCTTTAATTACATGACGATAAGAGCCAGTAATAAGACTGATAAGTAGGGAAGGTTGGGCGTGGGGCTAGCAACCCCGTCCTGTAAAAATAAACACCACTGTTACCAAAACTTCAAAGCTCTAGCTTGAAGCCCTATGTTCCACTGGGAACGTAAAGTAATAAAAAAGGAGGAATATTTGTGCACATGGGCTAAATTAACTTGCGGAAATCTAAAGGACAAAGAATTCTAAACGCACAAACACATGCATACACTGTTGATTTGCTGCAAATGTCATGACAACTGTGGCTTTTTGTTCTTTACGTATCACTCAAAGAAGGTCTTGAAAATTCATCAATACTTTATGTTAAATTTTATCAGAAACTATCAGGTTCAATATAGATAATATAAATCGATGGAATTTTCGAATATTGTGTGGAGTCTAACTACAATAAAGTGAATATTTAATACCTACTGAAAATTTTACTTTACACCTTGTGGAGGTAGATAGGTCTTAGAAAAATCAATGGTCTACAGGTGCAGTGACATTGGATGTTGAACCTTACTATTTTAGTGCACTCACTGAGCTGAAGGTAGTTGATCAAGCACCCTTGCCATTTGACTTGTACTTTTGTCATGCTTAGTTGTTTGTTCACGATCACTAGCTGGCTAAGCAGGCATCCCGGTTTGACAATAGCACTTGATGCAAATCAGATTAATTAAAAACCCAAATAGTGATTATGTCACATATTTACTGATGAATGGAACATTGTATATAATTGTGAAAAATAACTAAAATGATATTTGGATAACAAAATGTTCTGAAGCAGTTAAACCAACGAAGGCTCATTACTTGTTTTTTTATCAGTTAATCTGTATTTACTGTTGATTACGCTGAACCGAAATGCTCGGTCTCTGTTGACATGTTGGTTCCTAGTACAGACGCTTCGATGATATCTGAGGACTAACGTGATGTTATTTTAGTTGACGGTGGCTAGTCGTGGAATCCAGGATGCGCAGTTCACCCCATGTACGACACGTCAGTTGGACACACTCGGATTCCAATAGAGTAACGGTGTTCTAACTGTTACTTGGACCGTAAACCCATTGTTTCAAACTCCAAAGCATTATCCACTAGGTCATTGATACCGGTCGAACAAGAAGTGGCTCTCGTGACCACCAATCACCGGGAATGCCAGCAGATCCAGCTTACGAGTCCTAAATTGGACGAAATGCCTATCTTTGACTCTAAGGCTAGTAACCCTCAAATAAAACAACAAAGATTTAGTCCATAAACATTCACACTCATAAGGTCTTGAAAATACTATTGCACGATTATGATATTACATAGACAGTAAACACAGTCATAAAGAAAAAAGTGAGACCTACACTGTCACACTTTTTATCCGTATTTGCAGTATCCGGTTTCTTTATAAGAGGACCCATATAAGGTGGGATAAGTGGAGAAGATTTTACGGAATTCTTAGTCATATTTTTATCATCAAGGTTGTTGTTATCCGTGTCGCCGTATAAGTCTTGGTAAAGTGATAGAATCTTCTGACGCTTAGCAAGTGTACTTTTATCATCATCATCATCATCGTCGTCACCATCACCGTCATGATCTTTGTTTGAGCCATCAGAAGACCTTTTATCATTAGTGCCTGTACTTCTTTCTACATCTGCAACATTTGTTTCCTTACTTTTACTGTAGTTTATCTTACGCTTTAACTTTCTTTTACGAACTGGTAACTGGTGATTCGTAAGTTGATTGTCTTGCAAATTTTGGATATCGCAAGCCATAGGTTTGACCGATACATCAGATTCACTTTTAGTAACAACTGGAACAGCGTCATCACCATCTGAATCAAGTTTAATATCAATAATTTCACTAGTGTAGGAAAAAGCGGACGACTGTGACAATGCTGACGATGGCTGATACAAAAATGGGACAGACGGAGCTCTCAACGATTTGATTTTCACTACAGGAGAATAAGATGGTTGGTCTTGAGTAATGGGACCGTTTGTCAATCCATAGTCTGATAGTGAATTGGGTGCGTATCTTTCCAGTTCACTTATCGGAGTTGGCTGGTAAATGGGGATCGTTTCTTCAAAAACAGACCGTGGATAGTCAAGACTTTTAGAATACTCGACATTTAAGTGGTCTGTTGTATTATTAGTACGTTTTTCCAAAATACTGATAGGGGTTGGCTTGTACACTGGATCAGTGGGAGGTTTGCATGGTTTCTAATACAGTAAACTTAAGTAAGATAGATAAATTACCCCAGATGCCCCAATATTTTCTTCAGAAAGATCTGCAAAACATAAATTCAAAGCAATTAATTACAATGGTGACGCTATCTGGAATTATATAAGCTTGAATTAACATTTTTGAGTTATAACTAGTTCACAACAAAATCATCGAGTAGGAATTTTAAAGTAACAATGAGTTAGAAGAAAATAGAATTTATGGAGTGAATTAGCGGTTAGTGACCAAAACATTAATGAAATTGATATGAACTTCTGTTACAGATACCTAGATGACAGGTATCACAAATCATGCTGTAATCACAAAAACAAAAACTGAACTATCCTCTTCCAGTAAAGTACGGTGTGGGTTAAAGGTTTACATATTGGATTTCCAAACAGTGCAATCCGAGTAAATTATTCCAGATCTATAGATTAAAATACAGTTTGGCATATGAGTTAAATAACAATGAAAATAAATAAGCTAACAAAATAATGCACAGATGTGAGAATGAAGACTGGTGACTGTTTAAAGTATAAGTGATAAAAAGTCCTTGGATTTGCAGCACTCTGAAGATATCTGGATTATGGTAACTAAATATTACGATCTATTGGTTGTTGCACTTGAAGATTTATACCTGACTTATAGACATGGAAACTAAGACAAGAATGGATCAATTAAAGTTATTATACCTGAATAATTATGCCTGCACTTTCCTGTATAGCTCATATCAGCAGTTAAAGAATTCATTTATAGATATACCCCGTTATTTCACCCACCCTTGATATCATCCTAATACTTCTGAATGCATGGTGATATGGAATATTCCAGTCTTCACATTTACCACGAGCCCACATTTCCTTCTGCTGATCAGGACTTTTTGTTTAACATCTCACATTTGTGGTTTCACAACAAACAATCAATGTCATGAACACAACTTCGGTTAGAATCAAATGAAATTTATTTCAATGGTTTACACACAATGATAAGTTTTTGTTTTTGGTAATATTTCCAGCAAAATTACTGCCCGTGTTCACACCAACTGTTGGAATTGTTTTAAATTGTTTTTTAAATAACACATTTATGATTTGTACTCATACACACATAGTTCATTTTCTGTCCATTCATTTTTGTGTATTCAGAATTATATTTTAGGATGTTGACAGTTATTATGAGTCACCCTTGTATACATGTATCCGGTGTGACCTTAATGAATATAGGTTGTGCTATAAGTCATTTTATTTGTTAATATTAGTTGTTAGAATACAGATATTGTTAAAATGGATATTGTAGCTTTTGTCCAGTGCATGTGCAGCTGTTGTAAGCTTGTGTTCCTGTTGGATGAGTTTTAGTTAGGCGTTTGTATTATGTTGTATCTTTTTCATTTGTTCCATCATGAATAACTTGTCTCGCAAAATATGGTGGAACAAAACGAATATTAATCATAACACATCCTTTAATACGCAATATCAAAGGTACTTTTCTTGATACTCATAACACACTAAGTTTGTATTTAAAATAGCATAGTGTGATATGCGGTGAGATATTTTGTCAACGACAGTATTATATATATATATATATATATATATACCGGAAGGGTCTTCTGCATCCATATTGAAACTTCGTTAGTAATTTCTCTATAATCTCCTCAACTAATTAAGCGAACAACAATACTCCAACTTTCTATTTACTTGAAACTGTTGAACAGTTCAATAATGTTACCCAACATCCTTAAATCTAAAGTTAATATGTCTCAATCCTATACCCATATACACATGGCAGATGACAACATTCACGTATTTATATACTGCGTTAAGAACATCGAATTCAAACTGCGTCTTTCCTTATCAAACACTCTTTGAGCAAGTTTAGCTAAGTTCATTTCTGAGTGGTTTGAGTAAGGCAGACTTCTAACAGAATAACCAGTGATATCAAGTAAGAATGATGACAGTTCAAAAGAGCGTAATTCTTCTAGAATACTTAAAATAGCTTTCTAATTGACTTAGTTTCCCTAATTAAGAACTACTCTACTTGGTAATATGACCACTGTTGAATGTCTCCCTTATTTAAAACAAACTTCATAGTCATTATTAATTTGTTTTTCTTATTGAATTCGACCTGAAGTGAATATTCGATGCAAAACTGCACAAAAGTGCAGCAGTCTAAGTCAACAGACTTCACAAAAGCATAAAAAGACAATGAAAAATTTAGTGGTACTACAGTAAATAGAAATTCGTGATAGGAGGGAAAACTAAATGGAGAATAATGAGGGCTTAGTAAATCTGTGTGATCAACAGTAAATGAGTCTGAACCACTAACGACCTCTAGTCAATGCATGTGTACACGGAAAACGCAAATAGGGGTTGATGCTTATAGGTCTCACCCTCAGTCAAATGACACAAGCGATTGTCACTGGGAGCTCATGCAGTAATACATGTAAAGTCCAATTAAATCTACTCACCACCAAAAGCCATGTGAAATAGGCTTCCAATCCCAATTAGTTTTTGTGGTCAAGAAAATAATTATTCTTGCGTATTGCATGCACAGAAAAAAATATGCATCAAACGTGGAATGTCAGAGTGAAAACTAATGATATGCGTAATTATATCGAATGTGACTGCAAAAGCTAAACGACAAATACATGAGTTTGATTGGTATCAGGTCTTGTACAGTTTTGTACGTAATTAGAGAACCTTAACCTAGGCAGTAAAAAGTAACTGTAATATGAAGTGTGCGAATTTCACAACCAAAGTTTTTCAAATCTTTCTTCCGCAGAGTGAAAAGCCCGCACAAATAAATGCCCACAGAAAATACTATGAACACCTCTTGTTGTTTAGCCGACAACACGCATCAGCCTTTGAGCCCAACACATACCATACTTATTGACATAAACACGGGATTTGAATCCGTCGACTGAGGTATTGTGGTAATGTATGGCCCTGTACACTAACCGAGGTACACTACTCGAACTCATGGGGCCGCGTAAGAGCTTACGGAAAGTTGTCATCTGGAATCATGACAATCAGGAGTGACCGATATCCCCATTTTTTCGCTGAATATCATCATATATGCATGAATGGGTGACTCTAATCACCTTTAGAGACTTAGGAATTAACTTGCTACCATGAAACAGTCTTGTGTCTGACTGACTGATTTCAACGTAGGGCTTTGCACAGAAGTGTAGCAATTCGAGTTATCACACTGCGTGTAGCATACAAAGAAAGATAAGAGAGGAAAAAAGGGACTTGAAAGAACAATAATAAGCAAAAATGCGAGGAATAGGTAAATGACATTATCTTTATGGGTGAAGGAACTGACAACATGCAGTTTTGTGTACACCTTAAGTAGGAATCTTGGAATACTCGACGTGCAATTCACTCCCCGTTAAATAAGGGTTTATACTGAAAGACTATTCCAAATCGACTCCGATCCTAAAGATAGGTAGTGAAGTGGGTTTGAGGGTGTTGACTACCCTACTTGTTTGGGGAGTTGCATAGGCCCCAACCGACTTACTGGTGATGAAACCTCATTTTGTAAACAACTAAAGTCAACTTTGGCGTAGACGTCATATGCGGCTGTCGATCCATTAGATTTCTATTATCTTTTGTGTACTTACTTTTTCCACGTACAATCCTGTTCATTAAAGCTCTGATTTCCTATACCTTTAAGTGCTGTGTGAAGTGTGGCAGCTTGAAATGCTGTCTTTTTGTGCAAAGTTATACGTTAAAAATAAGTTGGAAGACTCAGCTCCCCAACCCCATTTACACTATAAGAGATGCTGTTTTATGTTCTCAGTGCTAAGTTACTGTCTGTGTGTTTTCGACATAGAACTTTACACAAATGTGCGGAAGTTCTAGTCGCCACATTCCGTGTAGCACGCGAAGCAAGAGAAAGTACAAGAAAAGCATAATAGAGACAGTAAACAGAGGTGTGAGACAAAGGAATAGTAATAACGAAGAACAAAACAGTTTCATTGGAGATCATGAGTCACAAGGAGTGGATGCATCTGCGCCAGGCACTGAAAACGATTTTGAGCCATGTCATCAATTGTTTCCAACCATAGATTTTTACCGTCCTGAGGACCCCAGCCTGGAAGTCTACACCTTCCTACGTGGCTTAGACCAACTGTTGTGGATTTCATTGACCGGTGCCAAGTTTTTGTTTGACTGCCGCTAGCATTTTTCCAACCTGACCCTATATCCGCTAACATAGCTCGTCGAGGGAGGCGATGGCTTGGCATTCGTAACACATGTCCTAACCATCTCAGTCTTTGTAACTTCACGACTTCGTCGATTGATTTCCCCTGTTTACCTAGAACTCTACGCCTAACCTCCATGTTGCTCGCCTTATTATGCCACTTTAAACGGGAAATAGAGCGCAGGCACCTATGATCAAAGACAGCTAGCCAGCATTTTCATGTCTTCCACTCTCAGTGGCCAGGTCTCACAACCATAAAGGAGGACGGAGCGGACTGATGAGCAGTACACCCGCCCTTTGGTCGATAGTCGAACATCTCGTCTACGCCAGAGTCGGCGTATGCGGCAAATGCGAAGCGAGCCTCCTGTATTCGTGATGAGATTTCGTCAGAGATCAGCCCGTTGGGGCTGATGGTACTTCCCAAATAAGTGAAGCGGTCAATGTGCTCTACCACTTCACTTCCTATTTTTAAACTAGGCGTCGATGTAGTCCAGTCCTGTAACATCATCTTGCATTTGGCGGGAGCGAATCGCATGCCAAACATTCGTAGATTGCTGCTCAAGGTGTTTAGAAGACTCTGCATTTCGTCAGCGTCTTCGCCTAGAAGGACTATATCGTCTGCATATTCCAAGTCAACGAGATTATTTCCTGGTAACAAGTCAAGGGAAGTTACTTACTAGGTATAGTAGAACCTCTAGAAGTAATCGCTTGAACTGGAGAGTTGGCTGGACCACTGCTATACGTAGGCTCAATCACAAGATTTTAAAGGAGTGAATCGGTTTGTATCACTGACAGAAACCTAATGCAGGCCTGAAGACGCAGAATTTATATGCCTATACGCATTACTACAATTATGTACACATGTAGCCACATATGGTTTAGTGTTGAGGGTTACTTTGAGGCACGAAAATATGACGGTAAAATCATAAAAATTTTAGAACTTTCAAAATTAGTAGGAAGTAGTTTTCTTGCGAAATCCATTAATAAATCAAACATTAAATCCCGGTAGTACTAACCATTCATTCTGAAAAAAGCAGGAGGACTTGATAGCAAATAAAACGGCCTAAATTGTCACACGGTTTAAGATCCGCCCTCTCCATCTATCAAAGGGCAATGGAAACTCTTAAGCAGCTATTTTAAAAGTGTGTTTGGGGTTACAAAAGTACTAATTCCGCTTTTCTGTTGACAAAATTTGTTGAGACTTAGTAGATGTTTCTGGAGTACTTATTCGGTAAAATTGAAAAGGCTCACTAAAAATGCACCTGAAGTTAACAGATCCGAACTAAGACGAACTTCACTCATATGTAAATGTCAACCTAACAATGATGGTAAACACCTCGTGCTGCTTTCAGGCCACGGTAAAGACATTTATTCACGTTTGAAACCAGATAACTACAATATGCATTGTGATCTGCTTATAGCTACAAGCTCTGTGAAACTAGCCGGTATAGTTTTATAACTGGGAAGTAGCATACACTTTTCCAGAAATAGTCAGTACTGGTACCTTGTTAGAGCATATAAGGCGGATCAGTTTGTATTTAGTTTCCCAGCCATAGCTACGTTAGACCTCCAGGAAGAGACGGAGAATCATTCTGACATCTGTTGGTATTGAGAACCTGTTAGGAAATACATTACTGACTTAAGTCTCCAGTATATGTATGCAATCAAGAGATTACGTGTATTCCAGATAAAAGCACCAGAAACAGGCGCATGATAACTGACTTGAATTATTAAAGTACAAATAAATTTTCCAAGACTTAAATACTTCTATTATTAACTATTAACCCGGTTAACACCATTTGCTTAAGGCCAGTGAAACCGTTTAACTCTATTGAATTAGGCGATTGAAACCCGACAGAAATGTTGAGTCATATTAGACAAAAGGCATTCTAGAAAGCACATTGAAATGAAGCACTGATTCTACTATCTACTGTCCATATGAGATATACGATGCTTGAAACGTAGATGACAAAGCCCAAAGGTTCTCTGACTCTATTGCAATCGAATTAAACAGGCTGTCACTACGTGCAAATCACTGTTATGCAAGGAACCATACTTCTACCTGTTTGCCTAATTAGTTCAGTGAGAATACAATAGAAAAACTACATTAATTTCTACCCAGTCGGTTACTTTTTTTTGTGGACCTGGGATATGTGGGTAAAAACGTGGGTAGTTTTCCGTTTAAATGTGGGCAGTGGGATAAGGTGGGCTGTTTTCGTTTGTAACATGGGCAAACGGGGAAAAAGTGGGTATATTTTGAATTCCTGCACATGGGATAAATGAGTGAAAACGTGGGTTACGTGGAAAACTGGGAAAAGGTGGGACAAACAAATTTTATCTGGACATGGGAAAACGGGGAAAAAGTGGCCTATGTGGCCAAAGTGGGTAAAATCGGTTGCATTTACACCATCTTTTGCCCACGTGTTTGCCGATCAAAATTACCCTTTCATCCCACGTTTGCCCACTTTGCCCATGTGCATTAACCGACTGGGTAGTCTACCTATTTGTGATCCTGCTAATATACTTGATGAGACATAAGGTGACTGCATATGCACAAATAACAGAAATTTATTTTATCCAAAACAACAGTGAAGTGCTTCGCCCCACTAGCAGCTGACACCAACAATATAACAAAAAAGATCAACTTCAGTTTGAACAGTATGATTGCTAAGTGATTAACTGACTCTGCATATTAAAATGATTGAAATGACAATATGGTCTACCACAGATTCCTTCGCTGAGTGATGGGCACAAAAACTCTTGAAACAATCCTGATGTTGGAAACATCAGTGACACACTGAGTGACTCAGCATTTGAATTTCTGCCTTAAGTTTCTCAACACCCACAATCAATCGCTAGTGTCCAAGGCATGTTGCTAAGTAGTCCGAGAACATTTCAGTCGTTGTTTGGACTCCACTTTAAGTGAAATGTCTCACACCTGTCTGAGTTTTTAAGCACTGTTTCCTGTATATTTAAGCGGAACCTAAATAGGAAGCACTAGAGCAGTATTCACGCGTAGCATGACGATAACTACGTCGGGTGAAAAAGAGAGCTTGTCGATAGTGTTGAGACGAACCTAAAACGATAGCAGAGAGACAACTGGAATGTTGATGCGCTGCTGGAGGTTTGTGCAGAGGAGTAATAGTAGTAGCAATACAGTCTCAAGGCACATGTCATCTGCTACGTCATTTACAAGCTTACAACCATGGATTTTTCTCGGTTTTATCTGCATTTTTAACACAGCCCACTGGGTCTCTTACTGACAGAGTTTTTTCGGACTCAGACTTCCAAATAACGCGAAAAAACAGTTGTGACGCATGGAGACACTGGTATGGGTGATAGAAGAATCCCTGTTTACGATAAAAACTATCCAGAATTCTGATTCCCTGATTGAAGCTTTTATTCAGCTATCAAGTCTGAAAGACCAAATATAAAGTTGTTCATTTTACATTAAATTACTCAGTTATCAAGGAAATCTGAGTACATAGCTAACTAAATGACTGGATTGTGTTAAATGGCACTCAAGACGAGATATCACCAGTCATTTTCTACTGACCAAGAATCATAGCATACATACATACCATTTAAAGCAGGTCTTCTTCAACCGTGAAACTTCCTGATACTAATATTCTTCCGTCTTTTCAGCGTCCTTATTCATACGCTAACATCTAGTGTTATAATATTAGTTCATCCGAAAGCATCAGAAGAACCCACACCATTTAGCGTGCTATATCATCATCCTTTTGTTTGTAAATGACACGTGAATGGCTGCGCATGTGTCCTGACGTAGTACAACCGCTCCCTTTTTGAATGATCAGATATTTATTCCTGGTTTTTCCTGTAAGTAGTTAATCGTTCAGTACAATGTGAATAAAACTTGGCTGGAGGACAGTACACATCATACAACATTTCCACCTTGTACATACAGATTCCAAACTGTGTTCATCCATTTGTGTGACTTCCTAGACCTAAAATCCATTAACCTTCACTATAAGTAGGAAAGAACTAATGGCACAAACATTCATTAAACGGGGTATAGGATGGCCTCTAAATGTTCGAAATGTTCTAAATTTTGTTATGAGGAATGTGCGTACAGCAGGATGCTCGCAACGGTCACTGAATAGTTGACTGATCACTAAATAGTGATCCATATAACAACTTAGGTATTTGAAGCTTAATCTTATTTGATGAATATTAATGTGGTGAAAGTGTAGCAGAAGGGACTCTATTGTACTGCATTGCTGGGAAACAAGATAGTCTTCTTGTGAAGATGGCAACAGTAAACAGCAGCACAGTAAACAACGATCAGGATTCACGAAAATGAGGCATATTTGATTTATCCTACTGGTGGCTATATGTGCCACTTTTTCCACGTGCTATCTAATGTTAGCAGATTCCAAGCTGTTAACAATTATTGCCTTCTTCAATACTTACTATTGCTTCTATCTTTACTTGTTTACGTATTATTTCTTGTGAGTAAATAGTATCTCATCAGTGTCTGTGGTTCGGTGGTGAAATGCTTGTCAGCTTCTGTAGAGGTCCTAGGTTTGATTTCTGGCCAACACGCTCCTAAAGTTTGCTTAACCAGTAATGAGCCCAGAAAGAGAAGGAAGGTTGGAAACTCCACATCAAAGCAGGCAGAACCACGCCACTACATTTTTACCCACTCTTTAATTACCGTT